GTGTGTGTGCGTGTGCACGCGTGTGTGCGTGCGTTTGTGTGTGTGATTGTGTGTGTGAGAGACTGTGTGACTCTGTGTGTGACTCTGTGTGTGACTCTGTGTGTACGTCTGTATGTACGAATGTGTGTATATGTGCGCGTGTGTGTGACAGTGAGCATGTATGTATGTGCAAGTTTCTAAGTAAGCTGTGGGCGGTGGGCAAAGCAGGAAGCTCGGAGCTCGCAGCCGCGCAGCCTTGAAATTCGTGGCGGGCATGCGGAGCACAACCCGCCCCCTCCCACGTAATCTATTGGCTGACTGATTGGTTCCAGGCCCCAATCCTCACTTTTTACTCCGCGTCATCCCTCGGCCCCAGGTGGTCCCGATTACCTCGACGCCCCTTTCGTGGACAAGGTCCAGGAGGTCACCGCGTCAGGCATACTCATGGTGAGTCACCCGTTAGTCGCTCTCCCGCCGCCCGGCGACCGGGCGACCGCGCCGCTTCGCCGGGCGCGGGTGGGGGCCTGGCGTGGGCGGACGCGGCGTTGCAGGCGGCCACGCGGGCCGACGCCGGCCAGCTCGGACCTGCATCATCAATTCAACTCTGCCCTGGCGCAGCTTGCGTCCCAAATTTTCCCCACCTGTGGGCACACAAATGTCATGTGATGCATTTGTCTCGTATTGCAAGGTAGAGATAGATAAGTATCAATCAACCCCCTCCCCTGGCCGCGGCCTCCCTCCATCAAATGTTGTCGCCAGGTCAGCGCCATCGGCAACGACGGGCCCCTGTGGGGCACCCTGAACAACCCCGCGGACAACGCTGACGTCATCGGGGTGGGGGGCATCGACAACGGCGGCGACATCGCAGAGTTTTCATCGCGCGGCATGACCACGCACGAGCTGCCGGTCGGCACGGGTGGGTTTTTGCGCGCGTGCGCGCGTGTGTGTGTGTGTGTGTGTGTGTGTGTATGTTGAGTGTTGAGTGTGTGAGAGAGATTGTGTGCGTTGAGTGTGTGTGTGAGAGAGTGTGTTTGTGTTGTTTGTGTGTGTTGAGTGTATGTGGTATGTTTGTGTGTTTCTGTATGCGCTCGCAGGAGTGCGTGCGTGCGTATACTTTTGTGAGGTGGGCAAGTGCGCTTGCCTTCAGCAGTCCATGAGGTTGGCGGCCGACAGAGAGGGGCGCCACCGCGCGCTGGGCAAGCAGGGGAGCGCCACGCTGCCGCGCTGGCAGCAGCGACAGATGCGCCGCCGAGATGAGCAATCCGATAAAAAATGACAGGGGAGAGTCATGGAGCAAACCTTCTCACCTCCAATCACATGGCTATATGATGTGATTGCTGTTGTGGATCCCAGGCCGTGTCAAGCCGGACATCATGGCGTATGCCAAGGACGTGCACGGCTCAAAGATACAGGTGGGGTGATCTAGAATTACAAGAGCCACGTGCTGATCTGGCGGCACGACGTGATCTGAAGCCGGCGCCGCCAGCACAGATTGGCCGGCCGACGTGTGCTGCCTGCGGGCGGCCCCAGCCCCTCCCCGCCGGGCGCCCGCCGCGGGTGCCTGTCATTGTGGCGCAGTTTGCAGGGGCCCGCGCCGGGCTGGGGCCCGGCAGGGCCACTGTGGTGCTGCGGCCCGTTGGTGCCGGCGCTTCGGACGCGATGCTTCTCGCGCCTCCCCCCCTCCCCCCGGGCCCAAATACAACCAATAAGCTCTCCACAGAACGTTTGGCAACGCCTGCATGCACCTCCTGCTGCGCACAGTCTAATGCAGACATACTCTCAGACCCACTGCTCGTAACACATGCTTGACATGCACACATACTCTCTCACACGCACACCGGCACACGCACACACACATTTACTTACACCTGCACGCATCCCCTCCGAAACCCCAGGGCGGCTGCCGCACCCTCAGCGGGACAAGCGTCGCCTCCCCCGTCGTCGCCGGCTGCGTCGCCCTCCTCGCCTCCACCGTCCCCGCAGCCACCCGCTGGACCACCCTCAACCCGGCAAGCATGAAGCAGGCCCTAATCGAGGGCGCCGACCGCCTGCCGAACCTCAACATAATGGAGCAGGGCAACGGCCGCATAAACCTCGCGAAGGCCGAGGCAGTCCTGGCGGACTACACGCCGCGCGCCAGCCTGTCGCCGACGACGCTGGACTTCACGGACTGCCCGTACATGTGGCCCTACTGCCGGCAGCCGGTCTACGCGTTCGGACTGCCGCTCGCGTTCAACGCGACAGTCCTGAATGGCATGGGCGCCACCGGGAGGTTCCTAGGGGAGCCCGAGTTCCAGCCGGGGGATGAGGGGGGGCGGCAGCTTCTTGTCAGCTTCACGAAGAGCGACGTGCTGTGGCCGTGGTCGGGGTTCCTGGGGGTGTACATCGAGGTGAGGGGGGGCCGGGTTTCATGTTTTATGTTTTGGGGGGTAGGGTGGGTGCGGAGGGGTGGCTTTCGATTCATATCAAAAGCGGCGCTTGTTGGTAGGGGCTTCACACAGTGATGCGCAGCAGTCTCCTATCACTCAATCGCACCGCCCCCAACCCCCAAA